GTTTACCTTTTCTTTTATATGCCTGACTGCATTGGCTAAGACCACCATTATGATGATGAATAGCAGGAGTGCGAGGGTACATCTTGCATTGTTCCCAAATTTAGGGGGGTCATGTTTGCTCTGTTCAACCATAATATACCAATGTATCTTATGTGTCTGCCATACATTAGCACCCAGAAGAGGCTGCTGAATTCAACAAAGTTAGGTCTGTCTAAAGACAAAAATGACATTGGTTTCATTGGTACCTCACCCAATCAATGCACCCATTGAGCTACAAGTACAAACCTATAATTAGTAAAGAGATACCACATGGAAATTAAAATTAAACTGGAAACTTTTTGTCCCAATAGTGGGGGTTGAACCCAGGGCCTTCACACTGAGCTACAAACTCCGCCAACCCCCACTGTTGAGGCAGGGTCTTGCTAAATGACTAAATCACCCAAGGCAAGCTAGCAGTTGTAATCCTCCTACCACCACCTCCCTGAGTGCTAGGATTGTACCACACACCCTGCTGGAAATACGTTCAAGTATAAAACTCCTCTAGGGGGGTTTGAGAATTTAGGGATAAGTTGTGTGCTTAATGTGCAGCTGGCACTGCACTGCTTGCTTGTCTCATGAATTGATACCAAATTAGTCATCCTAAGAAGAGAAAATAGACCTAATCAAAATGTAGTGACAAGTCAAAGGCCACTGTTTGTCTTCCTTGTCTCCAGGATAGACAGTAGAAGCAGGAGAACTGATTTGTAAATTTTATCAAAATGCTGAAGAGGTCCAGTCAGTTTTAACTGTGTCATGGAAAAGATAATACTTAATGTCATGGTGATTAAATATTTAAACATAAAAAATATGTAAAACTCAAGTAAAACATATTATTCACGTGTAGTGGTGTCTTACGGAGTGGGATATAGAGGAGAGGACAGAAACAGATGCAACAGGATTAAAACAGTTCCACCTTGGAAACTTAGTGTTTCGTGGTAGCTATCAGACTTATACACTAGAAATAGAAACTAATGTGACCCCCTATTCTTTTTGCCAAAACACAAAATGGAAAAAAGAAGTAAAGGAGCTAGATTTACACAGGAAATCTTTCTGAAGGACACGGAATTTCAAAGGAGCTTTAAAGAAATTAATACATCTTGGATAGCAACGGAGAATAAAAACAAATGCTTTATAAGGTGTTTAATTACAGCCATTTTATGTTATGCTGGCCATTTAAATAAAACAAGCAGACTTGAAAGAACAATGTAAAGGTAGCTGCATCTTGACCTCTGTATCATCTCTTTGTTCATGAAGAATTCCGAGAAGTAAGGTTTGCAGAATCAGGATAAATTACATACGAACTTACCTTTTACGTGTCACCAAGTTAGCAAATCATCAACTGCTCACCTTTGTACAATACCTTACTTCCAAATTCCTGAAAGTTAATTAGTGGTGGCACTGATGTTTTTCAGTAGCATCAACAGAATTCATCCAAAAACTTATTTTTGTAGTTTAGGCCTTTTTTAGAGGTAGTAGTTAATATTCAACCAATATAAAATGCCATCGGGTTATATGATTGACTTGGAAATGGTTTCTCCAAACATTTTATTGCCTGGCAGTTATAGAGAAATAAAAATTTATGAAAGAGCTTAAGTATATGTGTGTATATACATATATATCTGTGCTTTGATTGGAGCTACCTCAAACCTTTCCATCAGAATAAAAAGGTAATAAACACGAAAAAGCTTGGGTGATTTTTGTTTTTTGTCTGCTACTCATAATTTTCCTTTGGATTTAGTTGTATTTTTTAACATGTAAAACACACATCTTTCCAAAGCCAAAATCAGATAATAAGGTCTATTCAGAGAAATCTTTCTTCCATCCCTATTCCAACATGTTCCCTTACTGCCTTCAAAGATAAACATTTAATTAATTTTGAGCCGGTCTTCTAGTGCGTCTTTTCACAAACACAAACTAATGCACATGTGTGCACCTGCACACCCATTTTCCTCCATCTCTCCCCGTGTCCCCATCAGAGTGCACCATTTTACAATTTAGCACCTTGCTTTTTCACTTAAACTATTTGCAGGTCGCTCCGGATCAGAAATCTTCCCCTCTCTCCTCCATCACCCAAACAGTTTGAAGCCTTCCCGTGATCCCTGTAAAACATTATTAACGAAGTCATTAAAAGTGAGAACTGTAACTCTTGGCAGAGTTTATTTAGCTAGTTCTGCTTATCTCCAGCACATTTCAACTTTGGGATAATTTCCCCGCGTCTCTCACCTCCTGCTTCCAACTGCTGGCACATGCTGAGAGCACAAAGAAACTGATTCTGATCATTTGCCCAGGCAAAGCACAGCTAGGTTTTGAGCTGGAATGACACAGAGATGGCAGAAGTAAAATTTACAACCGAGGAGAAGGAACAATTTCTCTTTTTGTTCCCTGGCAGCTAATGAGCCACGAAGCGAGCTGGTAGGCACTAGGCCCAGATGCGCACTATAAGGCTTTGGTCTATATAGAGTGTACTCTATTTGCGGGGAGCTTACAACTCATTTAAAAGCTAGACACCACTCTCTGGGACCAAATCGTCTATTGAAACTGCTAAATAAGTTGGCCGTCCTAAATATATGATATGGCATAATTATGTGACCAATGTAGATAACTCTGTAAGATTGAGCTCCTTTGTTCCCTGCTATACTAATAGTGCTCCGAAATCTAAGAAACATTCTTTTCCTTAATCAAACATGACACTCCTGAATTCCCTCATTACAGATACACTCGTACAATACTGAAGCTCAGATGACGACCTTTCGTTGATTGACTAGAATTTTCTCAGCATTCCTTCTCAAGACCAAAACACTGAATCACCAGCCAGCAGACAAGCAGCAGCCCTGTCCCCAAAGCAAACCGGCCTTGACGACAACTGATCTCATCAATGCAACATTCTAGACAAAGGTCAGCGTTATTAGGCTGCTTTAAGTGAAATGAGCCTACAAAAGCCTCGGCTAGCAGGACAGATAAACCATGAGGTTGTATTTGCTCTAGAAACGAACCCTGTTTTTCTGGAGAATTCCTTTTCGTAACCAGTTTCTTTTGTGTACTTAAAGTAATAATCAACTCCATTCAAAAATACCTTTCAGAAATTTGCTCCTGAGGAGAATTCTGCACACAAGAACTTCCTGTTTTGCTGAAAAAAAAAAAAAATCTTTTAAATGTTGCTGTTTGACATACTGAACACAATAAACAATTATCAAAGTTTTGCTTTAATTACAGGTGATGTAATTTGGGGTTGTGAGGAGCTATAAAGTAAATTAGCTTGCTATTTTTCAAGGCCTTGCTCAGACTGTGTGGAATTTTAAAAGATACTTTAAAGGGTATAAAACATGGAAATGTTTAAAACTTTCAATATAGTAGGAAGATACCTTCACTCAGGACTTTGAGGTCTCAGCTCACTAGTAATACGAACTACAAAGTGAAATTGCGGTAACATTCCTAAGAACAAAATACCCTACCATCTTTTTTCCTCAGCTCCCCAACCCAGTAATTCGGACTGAACCCAGAGAACTCTGAGCTGTATTTCTAACTCTGTTTTACTATTTTCTTTTGAGACAGGGTCTCCTTAAATTGCCCGTGCTGGCCTTCAACTTCAATCCTCCTGTCTCAGCCTCCCCAGTAGCTGGGATTACATGCACTGGACTCTAGTCCAACTTCCCTATGACTTTAATAACAAATTACTCCAATTTATTAATAGAGTTATTACTCCATTCTTAAAAGCTGTGCGTAAGGAGCACAGAATAATAAAAGGATAGGCTACATAATTTGCTCGGCGTAGTACAAAATGAAAACACACAGCCCCTTGTTAACACATTGAGACTTTCAAAAGGACAACTGCAGGATGTTAACCCAAGCACAGGCCCCCGCAGGTCGCAAACCCAAGAAGCCAGCTAGCTCCGTTCTTTCACAGGGTCGCAGCCGTACTGCAGCAGTGTGCCGGGTCGGGGAAGGTCGGTGAGTTGTCAGACGACCGAGTTTTAGGGAAAGCCGGTCAGCACAGCTAATTACCCGGAAATCGTTCGGAAGCACAGTGTTGTAAAACCACAGGTTTTCTTTGCTTTCCCTTTATTTTT